CCTTTTTTAAAGAATTAATATGAGATTTAACTTTAAAACTTATTAGAATACTTAACTATCTGATACAAATTAAGTAGTTTGGTAATCCTCTTTCTGTTTTTGAAAACACTTAATGTATGAAAAAAATGTTTCGACTGTATGCGATACATCATATATCGAACAGCATCGTCGTCTTGATCATCGCGTGACTACCGATTATGATAGAAAGTTGCACCTCGGTTAAAAGAATACGGCGAACTAACAACCATAACCGCCTTGTGCCGATTTGCGCTTTTGCAATCAGATTTTAAAACTGATTTGTTGATCGCGATTCTTGACACGAACCTCAATGAATAAAGAATACTTTGACCGGATGTAATATTGTAACCTATTGGCGGATAGTTTTCATGCGCAGATATCGATGCAATTATTATATCAAGATATACATTTAAAAAAGCCGATTCGTACCAACACTGTCAAATTATTGCGACACTATTGATTTATTATACAAAAGGAAGAATATTTGTAAGATGTAGCGTACTTGCAAATTTATGAATTTAATCTGTAAGATTCATCTGAAAAAAGGCATTTTATTTATAAAAAAATAAATTATATTGACAAATTATAATAATACATAAAACATTTTCTATATTAAATACGCGGTTTTATTACCTGTAATATTTAAAAAATTTTATTGTATAATTACAAATCTAATTTAGCGTTTATATTTGTTATACATTTGTACAATTGATTAAAATAGTCTCAATATTATTTTTAAAATGTGTTTTTTTTATTTTTACTTATTTTTTTGATTTAGATTCAAGATTATTGTCTTTGATTTAAGATAATTTCAATATTATTTAAAAATGTGCTAATTTTTAATTTTTTGATTTTGATTTCTTCGATTTAGATTCAAAATTATTTTTCTATCTTAATTATTTTTTTTCCTTTTTCCATCTTGATTATTTTTACTTGTAAGATCAAGTAATTAATCAAAACTTTAATGGCAAAATATATCATGAATAAGATTCTATTTTCTTCTACATTCAGTTACATCAGCTACATTCAGTTTCAATCGTACGAATTTTACCATTTTTATGATCGATCGATCATAAAAAAATTCAATTAAAAGTCATCAAATTCCTCGGAGTACATTAAACTCAACGTCGGATGTTCAATAACAATCGTGCGCGATCATACTTTGCTTCGCGAAGTAAAGACAGCGGTTTCTAAACTTCTAGAACTTCTTTTCAAATAACCGATTCTGATTTCACGAGTTCGAGATCGTCCCCGCAATAGTTTTTAATTTTTTAATTTTTATTTCTTCGATTTAGAGTCAAGATTATTTTCTATCTTAATTATTTTTTTCCTTCCTCTGAATAATTTTTACCTGTAAGTTAAAGTAATCAATCGAAACTTTAATGTGCAAAGTGTACCATGAATGAGATTCTATTTTCCTTTATATTTAATTATACTTCAATCGCAAGAGTCATTTGTATGATCGATCGTCATTAAATTCCTCGGAGTACATTAAACTCAACAACATGTGATCAACAATCATACTTTGCTTCGCGAAGTAAAGATAGCGGCTTCTAAAACTTCTTTTCGAGCAGTAGAATAACCGATTCTGATTCCACGGGTTCGAGATCGTCCCCGCAATAGGTGGCAACATAATGCTTCGTTCTTATTCTTGGCATGACTTCTTCGCCTTTTTCGCCGATGGTGTGCCATGTAATTGGGTTACGAGAACGGCCGTATACGTTATTACGAGCCTACCTTGATAATATTCCACGACATTATCCTGACCGTATTCCATCGGAACTTTACTAACGTTTCGTACTTTGATCGCGGTTCGACGAGGCTATTTTTCGACGCTTACCTCACTCAAAGTCTACGACGATCTTTACTCTTCTTATCAACGACTGCAATGCGCGTGCTATCTATCGTCACAAATATTTGCGTGCAATCTTTGCTAGAAAAAAAATCGAAACAGACTTGAAGTGGCTGCGAACTGGCCTGGCCTTAACGTAAGATAAATTGATCCCGATTATTATCTCAAGATACCGCGTCTTTTCGAAATAGTTAGATGAGCACAATTTTCATCGCCATTAAACTTACGGCGACTTCAATTGATCACTTTTCGTCGAACAACTCTGTCGTGTAATTATTCGATGCTCCATATACCGTTCGCTCGTCGTGCAGGATCGAAACGCGGATCGTTCAATAATAAATCGCCAATAATTTCGTTCCAGTTCCGTCAAGATGACCCAAATAACACGCTTTTCGACCATCGCGGCAATAATCGGTGACAATTATGACAGCGTGTAGGTAGCGCAATGGGGGTCATTGGGCCGCGAAAGAGATTAAAAAAAAAAGAAAAAAGAAAAAGCGAGGAAAATGAGGGAAGATACGAGGGATAAGTACGTTTTTGGATAATGATCCACGCGCTCGAGCGTCCCGTACAAAAGATAATTGAAGTGGGTGCAACATGATTAATTAATGTCCTGCACAATCGACCGGCTTTTACATCTCGCCCGGATCGTTCCTTTCGCATCGCCGTGAAACTGATTAATTAAGTAACAACTGTCCGTTGGATCATCGAACCTTCGTTGCGCCCTAAAACTGTCTGCGCCGAGACTTGGACATTGCCGTCGAGGAGAGAAAGTTTAGCCTCTCGCAAAAAGGAAAAACACTCGCGGAACTCGGCGATTTCGTTTGCAATAAATTTTCCACGACGTGAGAGAGACCGGTCGTGGACCGAACGTGTTATTATCGCGCTAAATTGTGACTCGTCGCGTAACGCAACGTTCCATAGCATAACATTTAATACGGTCATTCCCGTTTAATTGCCGCACCAAATTTCACGTAATCGCGTTTTATTAACCCGACGAAAATGCACGCTGTCTGGTCGCAGAATTTTTACTTCATTTTTTTTCACGATCATTTGAATATTATCGACTTTACCTGTAATGTAACCGCGCGAATACGGATATTAATATGTAACGAGTAATTATTGTCGACAAATTAAACACGTACTTTCACTTTATGTTATTTCTATGAAAATAGTATCGCAATTATGAAAGAATTGAAGAGAAGTGAGTACCTCTCTGCGCAAATAATTAATGCGTAAAAAAAGAATCTACGACAAATTAATTGCAACTTCGGCTCCAATTAATTGCTGAAAAATTAAAAATGTTGAGGAAAACTGTATAGTGTCAATAATTTTGAGAAAGTTTCGAGAAATCACGCCAGTTTGCGGGTCGAGAGTAGAACAAGTTTCATCAATATACGTTATCAAGGAACGGAAGCAACTTCTCGTAGGCATCAATCGCGTTATCAATTGATAAGAAAAGACATCGGTACTCACTTAGTAATGGAAACTCGAGTTTCACTCTGCTAGTTCTCCTTTATTCGGCTCAGCTGGTAGTATGTATACGGCTCTAATTACGGAACTTATTCAACAAGACGGCCCCTGCGTCCGTAAATTAATGACCACGATCGAATCGGCTCATTAAACAGCGTTGGAGAGATTCTAATTAACTAGGTGCCGGGTGTCAAGAGGAAAATAATTGCCGCTATTTACGACGCGCTGACAGTTCTCGAGCTATTCTAATTTACGCGCCACGCTTGGTAAGTCGCCAACAACTAGCTGCTTTGTGAAACACTCGAAGGAAACCTCAGCAGGCGGCGCCACGCGATTGGTCAATTGACTTACCGATCACAGAGAGAATCCTGATAATCAAATTAGAGATAACTGTTGCTGATCCCAAATAATTTTTTAAAAATCACTCCAACATGAAAGTATGTCGTAGAGGAACAAGATGGATTTGAAATGTTACATATTAATAAAAAATCTGTTATCGACTGAGTGGAGGGATCAGCTTTGTAGTTAGCTAGTTAGGTACCTAACTAAGCAAGTAGACAGGTGTAGGCAGGTGGATAATACAGTGATCTGTTCTCATAGTTATCAGTGCATTGCGGTGGATTTAAAGAACCGTATATGACTTAAAATTTCCCTCTTAATTTTAAAAATCCAAAAAATTATCTCTTTATGTCAGAAAAAATTATCTCTTTATGTCAGAAAAAATAACAGCACAATAAAATTAATAAGTCACTTTATTATGACGTTCTATTATTCTCTAATTCTAAACAATGAGATGAATCTAATATACTCGAGCGAAATATAAGAAAAATTGAATGCATATCTCTGACAATTTTTACAAATATTTTGAATAAAATATTCAACATGTGTTCGTATTTTTTTTCTAGGAAACAATCCATTCATATACTTAATAATTTACACTATATAAATGAATTGCCAAATGAAATCATGGTCGGTTACATTTTTTAAACAAGTATCAGCTTTATGCTGACGACATACGTGTCATATAAATTACGTGGCACCGCCTTCGAGGAACAGTGATAATTAATGCAAACGAATGATCGGATACATCTCATAAAGACCTCAAGCATACCTTGTTTCCACGAACTAACCAGCGAGAGATAAATCCGTCCAAACACGATGGCATAAAACTCTTAAATAAACATTCTATAGGTATGAATGTATAGCTAAAGTTGCTCAATAGAAATATTTATCGCTCCTGTCTTTTATCACTCTCTATTCCATACATTTTAAAGATGCTTTCTTTCGATCTGACCATATTAAGTCTATAGGTGCAAGACAAATAATCATTTTCGTCTCCTTCTCTTTCAGTTTCACGACTTCTTCCACGTTAGTCGTTCTTTTATTTGGCAGATATGTAAAAAAAAAGAGAGGTGAGAGAGTTGGCAAGGGTCTTTATAACAGTTGGCCTGTCACAAAAGAATCTTTTATTATCTCGCGCTTATTGCAACCGCCTTTTGAGTCCTCGACGGAATTTCTTTCGCATCGAAGCGTGACGGGCGACTCAATGGGTCGCGAAAAAAAGTGAAATCGTCTCTTAGGAGAGCGACTCAATTCTTGGGGCTCTCCTTTTAATTCCATTAACCGCTATGGGACAATCGACGCGCGCGTTACTTACCATCGACGTGAAATAAAATTTCTCGAATTCGCGCTCGTGAAGCCGCGCTGACGTCAGATTCGTCGCTATATGTTGTGCGTGCTTCGACAGGACGTCCTCGCCTTTCTTACAGAGCCACGATAGTATCTGTAATTAAAAAAAAAATGTTAGAGCAATATTCTTAATCTTCGTCCAGTCAAACATTAGCAACAACTTTAAAAATTTTACTGGAGAATTTTTTAAAATTTAATTAGTAAAACAACGAAATGTATTAAATGATTGAGGAATATCTTGATAATTTTCAAAATGAAGTACATTCAAAGATATTTAGCTCACACATTCAAGGCTAAATTATTTTTATCTTATTACGATTATTTTCTTCGACGTTAGTTTCGGAAATAAAAGCGATAATAACAAGCGAAATAACAAGCAGAGAAATGTAGTTGTCAGTTGATGGTCTGTATCTGCCTTTCATTCGCACTTCATTTCGCTTGCTTTGCTTCCGTATTCTTGAACAAGCCGTCGAGTAAGTCGCAGACAAAACTCAACGCACATCAAATGATGTTTTAAAGCGTAACCAGACATAAAAAAAATTGAAGAGATTTTACATTGGACGCAATAATAATTTTACACTCTTTCTTTCTCAAGAAAATTCGCAGATTTTCTTCTAATATTCGCGAAATCATATTCTATTTCTCCCTTAATATTTATACCATGTTTGTTAACATCGAGGGGGAAAAATTTGGTTCTCGTGAAACGATGGGCAAACCTATCTCGAGCAACGGTTAAAACGCGAAGCCATTCTCGTGAAAACGATACGTACAGTTTCACCCGACGTGGTGAGAACGTAGTGTCGGTATTTAGTACAGTTGGACAGTGAATAATCGCTGGGCATCCGAATTCGTTGGATAATTAAGGCTCTCTGGCCGGCTGTCCCCGACTTGGCAGCCGCAGGAGAGTTATTTATGGTAGTTACACGGGATACACACATCCGTGGATTATGAAGGATATATGTGTGTCACTCCATTTCAATGTAGATATAATACGGTAAATAGCCGATCGACGACTCCCGTCGTGATTAGTCATGTCTTACGCAATTTCTCCGCAAGAGGATCCCTACCGATGCTCGCGATGTCTCTCGTTACGCAATCGTACAATTCTCATTATGACATAATCGTGATGGCAGGAATGATTCTTTGATAACGATCGAGCCATATTAAACGCGTGCTCTCGCTCAGTATTGCCACATTTTCCGTCATGCTCCAGAACCCTCAAACAAACGATAGGGAATTATTGCTCATGACGACTTAATGCTTGTTTGGTCAACATATTAATTATCTGTACGATGATTCGAACAATATACATTTATAGCATTGAACAATTATAATACAGAAAAAAATTACAGAATGTAATAGATTTAATATTAAAATGTCAAAATATATTCTAGATATTTATTTCTGGATTTATTTGCATGAATGGAAGAAAATGATAAGAAATCAAAGATTTGCACGAAGCGCAGGATATTAAAAATTTGTAATTTGCAACCATTAAATACTATAACTGGACTTAAATATATTAAAATATTTTAGAGATAGCAGCTATCAATTGTCATTAATATTTTCTACTAGACAGAATAAAAATTCATCAATAAATAATAAATTCCATATCATTTAATTTGATATATTTATCTCGTTTCTAAATTGAAGATTAGCCTCATTTACGATTTAACTCATATATGATCTCTGGCTCGATGCCACTTTGCGCTTCTTCATTGCAATAGTTTCACCTGTCACACGCATGCCATTGAAGGCCGAAGCGTGTCTCTTCGAAGGAATCTACAAGTACGATGCGTGCCTCGAAGATCTTACTGATAATTAGACCGCCTGTACGTCGCGCATGATAAATGACTAATCGACACATCATGATGTACCGGCGAGCAAAAAATATGCCAGGTTAATTAACGGCAGCAGAAGCGAAGTAAAATCTATTGCCAAGGGAAGGAGGGCGAGGCAGAGACGAGCAGGAAAATTGTTGATAGAAGAGAGAAGAGAGAGTGTAACAAAAGGAAATTTTACTATAAAAGGCTGTGACTAGAATTAAACTTATGGATCAAGAGCATTATCGATCTGAGAAATATTATTTAAAAAGACAATCCAATATCATTTTTTAATAGAAAAATCTTACAAGTTGCAGTCTTAAAAAGTTCCCGTCAAGAGATAGAGTAAAGTATCTGATATTCAAAGATAATATCTCACGGTATTTTCGAGATTACCATAAAAATTGGATTAAATAGACTTCAGTAATTATGTTCATCATTTGTAAATATGGAGTATGGACATAAGTATACACGGTCATCGGGAAGAAAGCGACACCGCCTCTGCCGGTAGACCTCATCAAAGAGAGCACGATTGGGCTCGAGGAGAAACGGAAACCACTTCGATCATAAGCAAACAGTGTCTTATTTGGGTCACTGGGCCGCGTTAGGTGAGCCGACGATCGAATGTCGTGCATAAGGCTCTACAACACGTCGGTCTTTCGAACGCGCGAGCCATTTGTGGGATAGTCATATAGAGGAGCGAGCAGCGATTTTCGCGTATCGACTTTGATCTTGCACGGTAGGATTTATCTCACGCGTAAATCGCACCCGGGAATCACGCACACCGCCGCGATTTCTAGGTAAATATGCGAGAAACGGACACGCGGATGTGCATTGTATAGATTAGAGGTGATATTTGTGCCTTGTGCAACGGCCATTTAAACGTCATGTTTAATTTAGCCGAGCGCACGTGTCTTGTGTGACGATAATAGAACATACGAAAAAATTATAAAATATTATATATGCTCTAGAAAAATAAAATAATAAAAATAATAAAAGAAATGAAAAATAAAATAAAATAACAAAAATAATATAAGATAATAAAAAAATATGTGCGCGATGAATAACATAAAAAGAATGTAAGAAATAGTTTCAGTAGAATTTAAAAGTAAACATTTCATAAGATGATTAATGATAATTATTCTCCCGTAAAAGTTTGGTATTCTTTTACGAATGCAAATATATCAAACGAACATTGATGTTTCTGCAACTTCTCGTCTTCAAACATTGAGTTATCGATCGATGAGAGAGGCAAACGTGGGAAATGAAAGTTAAATCACGTGCTAACTAATGTACACGCTAGTGCCGGCTATATAAAAAAAAAATTAGAATATATTATCATGAGGGAATTATATGCATTAAAAGTCGCCGGTATTTAACAAGCGAGCACGTACGAATATTTCATGCAACCGTGATGCAACCGAAGCGTGACGTTTAACCCAATAACGAATTTTTCGGGACGCAGATTCTATCGAGAAGCGTGAGGCCACCGACACATCAATATCGATCCAAAGTAGGTATCGGTTATAGAGCAACGCGTGAGGCGCAGACGTGGGAAGTAAAAACTAAATCGCCCGCGAGAGCAAAACGTGCATCTCTCGTGGCCGTTGCAAAATTATTGCCGTAAATCATCACGCTAGAGTTGCATACATCGGCATTAGCGGAGGAAATCACTCTCGACATCGTGCACGCATTCCGGAACCATAAGAAGCGAAACACGCGATGAGCACCTCATTATTATCGCAATATATTTCTTATTTCCTTCCTTCTTTCTTTCTTTACAAATAATATAATACTTCTTGGAACTTACGACTTTCTTCGAAAAGTCCTAATTTAATATCATATTTTTATTATTGTTTTTAGGGACAAAATATATATATATATATATTTATTATATATATAAATTAATATATATAAATAAATATATAAATTAATATATATTAATATATATAAATTTAATATATTATGTAAATTAAATAATTATATAAATTATATATATAAATTTCAAATAAGACTTACTTTATAAACTTGTATAAAAAAATCTTCAGAGACAAGCATGAGATGAATTCTCTCATATCGATACTGTGCGAACACAATTTTGCTATTCAATACAGGTCAGGTGTAAAGTGGAAGAAAGTAATCAAGCATTCACGCACTAGAGAAAGATCACTCGCACTGATTTGAATATTACCTTACGCGATTCGCATTATTACCGAGGCGATCCAGCATGAGATGCAGCAACGCGGGATCCTATGGCGTCCCGTTAAGGGAAAAATTCACGGAAACCTTCTCGATCATAAGCAGACCTTAGGTTATACGGGTCACTGGGCCGTGCTAAGTGAACGACGATCAAATACCGTAAACACGTGTGTGCACGTGTGCGTATGCATGTGTACGCGCGGCGAGAAGGTGAGTCAGGTGCGAGAGCGTGCGCAAACGAACGTTGCACCATGAGAGCCACGTCTTCCTCCACCCTCTTCCCTCCACCTCCTCGTCCTCGTCGCAACATGCAGCGATCTCACGCGCCGCGACCTCGACGTGGACCGCGTGCGTTTTATCTCGCCTCCACGCGCGCCAAGCGTGCAAACGCCTAACGGGCGATAGGTATTTAGGTTCCGTCGTGTGGCTCTCTACTGAAACGCTTCCGCGTGGTGCATCTTCTCACAGCGATCGCTTATCGCTTATGGAAAACGCGCGACGTGTTCGATTCGATAGCGCGGGCTGTGATTGTCGTTATGCGACTCCGTCGACTTACAACATCGGCCAATTACACCGATAGCGTGTGGCGTACGGTTTAGAGAAGAGAATGACGCGGACCCCAAGCAAGCGTATGTATGTATGTGGGAGTGGTGACCGCTTTTGGCCCATAATATGCGCAGGAAGGTTGAATAGGTTGATGCCTTTCGGATAAACGCGTCGTCTGTGACGTACAAGTCTATCTTTTTGTATATCTTCGATATTGATTATTCTCGATAGGAGAACCGTTTGAACGAACGAGTAAAAGACACGTCTGTAATATTGAAGTACTTGTATAATAATCTCCGTATTGAAAGGTTTTCAATTGCATTAAGTCATCATAGTTAAATATCTAAAAATACTTAAAAATGCATTTACCTTGATATGGAACTTATTCACCAATAAAAATAACTTTTAATATAATCCACAAGAAAAAGATTATTTTTTTTGGAAAATATGATAATTGTATATCTCAAAGAAATTTTCGAATTCGATTGAGAAATATAAATTAATTATAAAAAAGAGAAGAAGGCCA